ATAAAGAACTTTTGAGGAGAAATCTTTTTTTAATATTTATCTTATCATCATTGGTATTTTGTCTGCATGTATGTCTGTGTGAGGGTGTTGGATCCTTTGGAACTGGAGTTACAGACAGTCCTGTGCTGACATGTTGGGGGCTGGGAATTGAATCAGGGTCCTCTGGAAGAGGAGCCAGGGTTCTTAACCACTCCAGCCCCTTGAGGAAGAATCTTAAAGAGAGCTTTCTGAGAAAGAACTTTTGGGAAGAACATTTCTTTAAAGAATAAAGAGCCATGAAAAGAAGGAGTGTATGAGACGGTTTCCTTTTGGCCCTCAGATCAGAACTTTTTAGCAAACCCCTATCTACCTGCTGTAAGCCTCCTGCCTGAACCATAATAGTATATGTAGACCAGAAGTTGATGTCAGGCGTTTTCTTGATCACTGTCTACTTCATTTGCTGAGGCAAGGACTCCCTCTGAATGCAGAGCTATTGGATTCAGCTAGTCTAGCTATATCAGACTCCCTGGGATTACAGAGAGGCTGCACAACCACTTAGCTTTTTACTTGGGTTCCAGCTGCAGCCTCAGACTTGCATATAAGCATTTCCTTTCCTACTAGCTATCTCTAGTCCCCCAGGCAGAACTGTCTGCATTCTTAAAAGATTAAAGAGCTGAAACTGTAGCTCAGAGAATGGGGGGGGGGGTGTTACTAGAAAGAAGAGGTAGGAAGAAGGAGAGGGAGAGGGAGTGTGAGTGAGAGCTTATTTGCATCACAGGAGAGAGACTGGTGGGAGAGGATTCTAAAGTGCTTGCTACCAAAGCCTGAAGGTCTGAGTTCAAATCCGCAGAAGCTGAGCAAGGTAGCTCAAGTCTCTAATTCCAGCACACCTATGGTGAGATGAGAGGTAGAAAGAGACAGAATGCCCAAAAGTTTCCAGGCCTGGTGTACCTGACTGGAAGAGAGACACATGTCCAAGATTTTCCTTTGACTTCCACCATATGTACATGGTGGCATGTGCACCAGCCCCACAAACTTGCACACACGTGCATATACATACATAGACAACAAAATGAATTACCCTATTGACAAAGTTCTACTATTTTAGCTGCTAAATTAAATCTTACCTTTAAGGGCCTAGAGAAATTATACCAAGATTTTCAAAACAAAACAAAAATAAACAAAAGACTAGGTAGTAGGTTATGAAAATTTGAAACAATTTCAGTGCATTTTGAAGAGTATTAAATACTAGAATGAAATTACATTTCTATATAGGTCATAGAAATACCTTCACAAATGCACATTCATGCATGTACTAGTCTTCATTATAGTAACATCTGTAATATGAAGAGTTGTCAAAAATAATGTAAACATTGAGACAAGTGAAACACATGAATATCTATAAAGTGCTATTCATCTTCTAAAAATGCAGTAGCCTTAAAAATCCATCTATCTACCACACATGTTAAGTGAAAAAAAAGCAAGATGGAAAACTGCATAGGTAGTTTGTGAGCATCTGAGTAAAGAAATAGATCCATTTTCTTCTCTATATAGACAATCTCACTAAAAGCACATACACTGAAGCAGAAAAAAGGAATAACGAAAAAGCAGATTACTTTTCAATGCCCTTTTAGCCCCTTTAAACACTGTTAATGTGGTCACTTCAAAGGGTGGACTTATAGACTTGCAAAAAGCTAAACAAACCCCAGGGTGACTCAACAAATTACTCAATTCTGCTCAAATAACAGGACTCTAATGAGTGAACTAAAGCTTTTGTTTTCCCTTTAACATTCTGTTTCCAACCTTTGGAAAACTTTCATTCTTGGTTCTCCAAGCTATCTCCACCCAGTGAGTCAGCTAATAAAAGGGTGGGTCTTTCTAAGTGAGTGTCTCAATTGGCAAGAGGCCTAGGAACACAAGAAGCTGGGGGGGGGGGGATGGGACAAAAGGAAAAACAGGAAGTATGACTTAGGCAAGGACAGATGCGCTTTTCCAAAAGCTGCTTCTGTGGGTTCCAGAAGGGCCATTTGAAGCAATCATTGACCGGGATAAAAACATAGAAACAAGACTAGTCCTCTGCGTGATTGGGCAGTCCTTTATTCAACCATGAGGACTGAGAGGTGGTGTTAAGTTTGCAAGGGCAAAATTACTTCTTCCACCTGCTTCTAATGTTTTCCTTGTCTAAGTGGTAGCTCATTATACTTGTACTGTAATTGGGACAGATTACCTTATCAGAATGGCTCACTGTCACCTGGCAGCAATTAGGGACAGCAAGATACCGTGTGCACCTCTGCATCACCTCTGCACTTCGGTTTCCTCAGGCTGATGCGGGTCAAGGACCAGGGATGAAATCTAGAATGTTACATCCTAGAATAGTTCCTAAGAATTGTAAGCCGGAACTTACATCCCAGGCTTGTGAATTCTGTCCTAGGTGTACAGCATAAATTCCCCAAGTCCCCCCAAATTTGCTGTGTCACCAAAGTCTGGTCACTAGCCAGACCCGGCTTTCGGTACTGTTCTTACTTGGCCTCCCGGGAGGCGTTTCACCAGGGCCACCTTCTGGCCTCAAGCCACCTGTCCGAGGGGTGTCACAGCTCCCTGGCAACCCTACTCTACCAGGCCTAACAGAACCAGCTAATAGGCCTTCTGAGTCCTCCCGCACGCGGGGCAAGCCGGCCCAACCCATACCACCACCCGGAGGCCCAGCCCACCCCGCTTGCAACAGGAGAGGGGCTTCACCATTCCCTCACGAAGGCCAGACCGCAGACCGGGAACTGGCTGACTGGTCGGTGAGAGAACCACAAGGGAATGGAGTGCGAGTCCTCACCTGAACGAGGGAGCAGCGTCACCGTCCGGCCCGCTTTAGCGCAATATGGAGCCAGGGAGGGCCGGAGGGCGTGGCGTCGGGGCGGCGCGAGGATGCTGGCTGCCAGACCGCCCCCAAGCTCGGGCGGGACCCAGCTCCCCTCAGGTGGCTCAGCTAGTTTGATCACGTGTTAATGTGCGTCCGCTTCACTCCTGGCGGTCCTGGGAAAAACAGAAAAGTGCTGCAGCTTTCGCTCCCTCCGGCTCCAGTGAACCTGCTCCGAGGACCGACGAGCTCCAAGCCCTCGAGGTATCTCGAGGACCCAGAGCGTGTTTGCCTCCTGTGATTAATTATGGGGAATTCTGGGTATACGGAACTGGAGCTGAATTAGGCAAAAAAAAAAAAAAAAAAAAAAAAAAAATGTTGATTCAAGGTTCTACTTGTTCATTTATGTGTTAAATTCAGTCTAAATATTTGAGGCAGTTATAAGTAACCTATATTTATACACGGTGACGTGGTTGGGTCGAGGTTAGAGGTCAACCAACCTTTCATCTGGTTTTTTGGTTTTAAGGTTGGTCTCACTGGGACTGCTAGCCAGTGAGCTCCTGGGATTCCTGTGTTGCATTTCCACATGACTGAGCTATCTCCCCAGCATGCCCTTCACTTTCACAAGAAAAGCATGTATTTGGGTATGTATGCTAAGCACAGCTTGTAGGAATTGGTTCTCTTCCTCTACCATGTTTCCAGAGATGGAATTCAGGTTTTAAGGCTTTGAGGTAAGCACTCAGGTCAGGTGTGGAGGGAAGTGCCTTCACACCTCAGCACACTCCAACTCCACTACACACATTCCTTTAATGTATATTTGTGTAAGATGTATGTATTCTTGTGGACACATGTGGAAGTCATAAGACAACTCGGTGGAGACATTTGTCCCTTTGCACCTTGTAGGTTCTGAGAACGAAACCCTGTTTTGCAGGCTTGGCTGCAAGGCCCATTAAACACTGGGCCATCTCACTGGCCCAAGGCATTTCCAACTTTCTTGATGAGACATAAAACTTAAAATAAGATAATCTAACTTTTCCATTTTTATTTATTGTGTTATGGCTATGAGATAAAAGTACGCTGGCGACTGGAAGGCAAGGAATACCATAGAGTCACATAGCACAACAAACCTCACACAAGAGATTTATTTATTGGGAAAGGAACAAGAGGGAAGGTGGATATCTCTGCTCAGGTGAGCAGAGCAGAGAAACTGAACTTTATATAGGGATTTTTGGATGTGGGGTGGAGTTGAACTATCCAGGGTGGACTGGAATTGGAGGGATTATGTGGCCTGATCTTGGGCAAGCTCAAGGATTGGTGGGATTTTATAGAGACCCTTTCTCAAAAAACAAAAGCAAGGAAAAAAAAAAAAAAAGAGTGCATATGTCTGTTGGGGGAAGCAAAGTTATACCTGCACATGAAGGTCATGGCAAGGCTCTAAAGATGAACAGCTATGGATTCCCATGTGCCATGGTGTGGAAGATCCAAATAGCGGATGCTAATTACTCCCTTGGCAAGAAAGAATCCTCTAATTTTAAGGTCTTTAGTTCGGGTGAGTAGTATTTGATTGTAAATAGAAAACAAATTATTTAAGAAGCCCCAACATACCCATGTGCAGTGGCAAATGCATATATAGTTTCAACTTTGTTGAAGGCTGTGGCAAAAGCACAGTGAGCCATTCACACTCACACACACTCTACTCATAGCTAACTTTTTAGATATAAGTTAAATCAAGCTCACACAGGCTTGTAACTTGTGAGGCTGAGGCATATGTTAGTATATTCAAGGCCAACCTAGGCTACTTAATGATACTGTCTCAAAACAAACAAACAAATTACAAAAGAGGGCTGGGAACAATGTAACTCAAGTGGTAAAGCACCAGGACTAGGGGAAAAAACAAAAAACAGTCATGTCATATTGATTCTCATTGGTTTAGAATTTTTACTTGGACTGTGATTAAGATTTAATATTCAGTAGGTTACAATGTTGGCAACAATTCAACATCAACAGGGTGATCTGATTAAGCTTCCGTTTTTCAGGCATTCAGTTAGGATTTGCTTCAACTATTGAAAAACTATCAGCTTTTTCTTTTCTTTTTTTTTTTTTTTTCTTTCTTCTTTTGTTTTTTGAGACAGGATTTCTCTATGTAGTTTTGGAACCTGTCCTGGAACTCGATTTGTAGACCAGGCTGGCCTTGAACTCACAGAGATCCGCCTGCCTCTGCCTCCTGAGTGCTGGGATTAAAGGCGTGTGCCACCACCATCCGGCCTTTTTCTTCTAATTGTTTCTTATCTAGTTGGCAGGAGGAACTTCCAAGAAACATGATGTAGTAGGCACTGCTGTAAACTGGCTGCTTATTGGGGTTAGAATAGACCTGTTCAGGTTTGAGGGATGTGAAAGGATTTGCTCCACAAGCAATGATGGGTGTATCCAAGTTCACCAGGATCTGCAAAGAGGCTTCCAATTCCTGTTGGCTGGGGAAGAGAGAAAGAAAATCCCTCTAATAATTATTAAAGAGTAGAAATTGTTCAAGTGCATAGCAATTCATGATCAATTCCAAAACTTTCCTAAAGCTGTACTAGGCAAGGGTTATTTTTCCTTTCCAAATGTCTCACCAAATCCCAGATTATGTAACAAAGGATTGTTTCCAGAAATTTATTTTAGAGCCACATACAGGAAGGAAGAACACCTTCCTAAGATAGATGGACAAGGGGAATCAAAATGGGTTCATCTGTGTACAGGAAAAATCGAGTTAGGAATGGATCACAAACAGAAGTAGGTAAAAACCTGTAGACAGTAATCAGTGTAGGGATCTCATAGTCACGAAGCAGAAGCAGGGTAGGTAGCCAAGCTTCCATCAACACTGGGGTGGCGTGGAAACCTGAAGAACAAGAATGGAAACATGAAGAGATGGGAGAAAGACTGAGGTATAGCCTAAGGACACGACACTCCTTTGATTTTATCTACTCAACCCCCATGTTGTTCATGAACTACCTAAGTTCTTCAATAAAAGATCAACCAAGCTTATCATTACACTGTATTTAATGAGGACCAAAAGAAATGAATAAGGATCAAAAGAAAATAGATGTAAGTTGTCCTGGCTAGTTTTATGTCAACCTGACACAAGCTAAGAGTCATCTGAAAGGAAGGAACCTCAATTGAGAAAATGCCTCCATAAGATCAGGCTGTAAGGCAGTTTCTCTAATTAATTAGTGATTGATGGGGGAAGGTCCAGCCTATTGTGTGACTTTTATAGAGTCATGGGCTCTATAAAAAGAGCAGGTTGAGCAAGCCACAAGTATTAAGTCCATGGCCTCTGCATCAGCTCCACCTTCTGTTTCCTGTCCTTTTTGAATTCCTGTTCTCACTTCCTTCAGTGATGGACTACAAATGTGGAAGTATAAGTTGAATAAACCCTTTTTCCTTGACAACTTTCTTTTGGTCATAGTGTTTTCATCACAGCAACAGAAACCCTAACTGAATCATAGAGGCAAGGTGGTAAATGCACTTTAGCATTTCTTAGTATGAACAACTCTTACCTGGATGGGATGCAGCTACCAAATCTGGATGAGCTAGATTCCCAGTCTCTATCTGCTCCTCCCAGAAGTCATGATACAGGGCCTTGTGGCCAATAAGCTGAATTGTTCCAGGCTCCATGGGGTAAAGGTGAGGAATTCTGTAAAAGGTTAGCACTGCCATCCACTCCCACCATGATCACATGGAGGCCAAGGTGTTCAGGAAACATGTAGCCAAGCTCATCATAATCTCCAGAACCAATGAGAAATGTTTCCACGTGGGAAGCACCAACTACATGCAATGTGCTTCCCCCAGTCTTCCCAACATCTATAGCCAGAGTCCGAAGCCCTAGGCCCAGGGTCAAGGGCCGTGACAAAACATCTGTCATTAACCGCTTCAAAGAGCTGTGCAGGACATCTGGTTCTGGCTGTGGCTTTCCTAGACTGGCCCAAAGCATGGTCATAGCATGGCTACCTAGAACATCATTCAGCGTAGACTCTAGCTGTAAACCCCTCATAGAAAACCAGGAATCCCAATCCTGTATATCTTCTGCTGGCCATAGCCAAGGTCCTGAGGGTAGGACAAAATCACCTGTAAGGCAGAAGGAGTAAGTGAACAGGGCTGGAAAGAAGAAAGCACTGCTCTTGGCAAGGACCTGTGTTTGGTTCCCAGAAGCCAAACTAGGAAGCTCGGAATTGTCTGTAATATCAAGTCTAGGGGATGCCATGTCCTCTTTCAGCCTTGAGGGGCACTGCACTCATGTGCACAAATCCATACACAAATACCCATAATTTAAGAAATAATAATCCTTGGCTTCAAAATTCCCTCCTCAGTAATTCATATTTATTCTGCCAACCAGTAACTACAAATACCACATTCCTTGCCAGTTTTTCATTTTCCCCTTAAAACAACATGTTTTTATTTTTTTCCTATCCATAACCAACAAGGACCACTAAGATACAATTTCTTAATACCTCTACCTGTGACCAGAAGCCATTCCATGACACGATCCACGGCCACAAGACGGAGCACTTGATAAACCTTCCTATGTGCTGGCCAATCTGACCTTTGGCACTCCGTACCACAGTAATAGACATTACTGCACCTGAGAGAATGAACCAAAGAAACATGTCCCTGTATCACAAAGGTGACTGTGTGTGTCCAGGGAAGGGAACTGGATACCTGCAAATTTGAAGAAAGACCAATTAATAGGTGAGGATGGTATGGAGAAAAAAAGACAGGTGACAACCCAAATGTGGGAGGCACACTGGCAGGTGAAGCAAAAGAGATTAGGAATGGAATTCTTAAGAGTGCTGCTCCCATCTCTGCCTATCTAAAACAACTTATGTTTTTCACTTCTTTCAGGAAAAAAAACAAAACAAACAAACAAAAAAACCAAAACAAACAAAAACCAAAACCCCAAGCTTTGCTGATGCTTTCTCTTAACAGGTGTGATATCATCAACCTTCTCAGAGCAGATGTGCTCTTACACCATGTATACTCAAGAAGAAAGTAGGAAGGGTACCTGCTATTTCATCTCCTACAATACCAAAAATAAACAGGATTATAACTGGGGCCACACAAAATGAGGAACTATTAATTCTGAAAACAAACAAAAAACCCTTAGGGTTGTTTCTCTTTGAAGAAGGACTTAGTATAGGGTTATTTATGAATGTTCCTCCAGTAGCAACTCACAAAGTCACCTCTTACAGTGCCGGAGAACCTTGTGATCTGAAAGGCCATAAGGGAGTGCTTTACAGTAAGCACAGAATCTGAAGGTGTCCTCCATCCTCTGGAACATTTCTTGTGGAGACTGAAATCCAAAGCTTGATACTGGCATTCCCCCATCTACCACCAACCTGTAGAGACAGTATGAAAGAAACTGTACCAGGGGAGAGTATCTCTAAAGTCCCTTCTGTGCTTCCTCCACCTTGGATGGACACTTCGTAATCTTAGATGTATCCCACTCCCACTTTTCTTAAGCAATTATATGTCTTCTACACTAACAAGTGACAAAGGTCAGAATGAGAAAATTCCCAATTACACTTTTCCATCTTCTGATATGATGGTACCAAAGACACTAAGACCCCTTCCCACAAACTAGTCACTCACTTGTATTCTTCATAGTTTTTCATGTTCAGCTTTTGAAGGATCAACTGGGACAGACCTGGTACATTATTGTCCAAGGAAATGAAGCCAAGTGCATCAATGCTAGGGTCGGGTTTTGAGAGGGTTGGAGGATCCAGAGACACTTCTGTGGGTGGGATTACAACCATGGGAGTCACTGGTGGGGGTTTCTTATGCTTCCGCCGCTGTGAACGTGGAGCCATGTCCAGTGAACTTGGGGGTCAGATGTTAAACAGGAATGGAATTTGATATTTTCAGATGCCTGGCCTTTTACTTCTCATTCAAGTCTCTAAGGCGTAGGTATGAGAAAATTTATTAGTTACAGGCTACTTACTGCTATAAGCAGTTATAAAAAAATAGAGATCATCACTGGGCACATGGTGGCTTACTTCTGTAATACTAGTATTCGGGAGGCTAAGGAATACACAGAGTTCCTGGGCTGCATAGCAAGACCTCCCTCAAACAAAAATGAAAACAAAAACAAGAGAATAATGATATACAATATAATTAATGCATATGTGTGATATATGAAGTTCTATATTCAGGTAAATAAATGTACAAAGTAAGGAATTACAAAACCCTTAAAGAAGCAGCAGATAGGAACTGGGTTGATCAAAGTAGCCCCTAGACTTCTTGAAGAAGCAGGAGGGCACAGGTCATATAGACCCGCATGGCCACTAACTCATTATGTTGGTGAGGATGACTTTGAATTCCTGGTCTTCTGGCTCCATTTCCCAAGTGCTAGGACCACATCCATGAATGCTAGGTAAGCACTATACCATGTGAACTACATCCCCAGCCAAACGCTTTTATTATAAAAATACTCTTTTATAGTTTGTTTTGAAGCAGATTTTTATGTAGCCAGCTGTGTGCCACCCTATCTGCCTCAGCCCACAAACCATTAACTTAAAAAACAAGAAAGCAACACAAGTTTTTGACTATCCAAGTTATCAGAAGCTGGAAAATTAGCTAACCTTAACTTACCTAGTTATGGAGATAAGACAAAAATTCTTACTTTCCACATCAGCCTGTTCCACTGGCTCTCCTTTCCACCCTGTAGTGCTATGGCTGCTCTTTCCTGAGCTCCTTCTAAGCTAGTCTTACACCTCTAGTCATCATCATGATCATCCTCATCAGCCATGACATATACTTGGAGGGCAAGATGGTCAATGGCTAAATGGTAATATTGGTGGAAATGCCTCCACTAAAGATAAAAAAGAAATGGTATTTAAAACATAGTAATCATGGTGTTGATATTCATGAACCAGCTTCATCAAAAAAGTCTACAAGAAGTATATCAAAGATTGTATGAAACCACTCAAAAGCAAATGAGAAGAACAGAGAATAGGAACTGTAAGACAGAATGCAGAATAATTAAGCACATCTAAGCTAATTTAAGTAACTGCCAGTTTTTCAATGGGAACATAATCAAATGGCATGGTTTCAGTGCTAACATCAAGGTGGTGTGACTCTAGATAGGATTTTCTTTAAGGATAGTTTTTAAAAATGGAAAATGTTAACAACTAAGTATCTATTGCCTACCATGATATCTGGCTGATGCTTGTCATCCAAACAATACCAGGACTTAAGATAAATGGAACTTTTTTTTTTTTTTTTTTTTTTTTTTTTGGTTTTTTGAAACAGATTTCTCTGTGTAGCTTTGGAACCCATCCTGGAACTAGCTTTGTAGACCAGGTTAGCCTGGAACTCACAAGAGATCCTCCTGCCTCTGCCTACCGAGTGCTGGGATTAAAGGCATGTGCCACCAATGTCCGCGGCTTCATCTTGAATTTTTAAAGAATTTATTTTACATGTATGTGCATAAACGTAGATGCATGCTACAGCATGTATGTGGAATTTAGAGAACAACTTCTGGAGTTGTTCCCTGCCTTCCACCTTGTTTGAGGTGGGATCTCTCTTGTTATGTGCAATTCAGGCTAGGTGGACCACAACTTTTTAGGCGATTTTCCTGTCTCTTCCTTCTATCTTGGCCTAAGAGCAAGGAACTTTAGATGTGTACTATGGAATTGGGATTCCAGGGTTAAAATTCAGATCCTTAAGCTTGCTGAGCAAGTACTTTTACCCACTGAGTCACTTCATGGCCTGAAGTTTCTTTAGAAGCTTTTGAAATTTTTCTAAGTGTTTTTCTTGTACACAGATTACGTGTGTTGTATACACATACCAGATGTTGTGGAGATCAGAATAGGGGTCATATCCTTGGAACTGGAGAAACCTGATGCTAGAGAAATTTCCCAGGAATCCACAGGATGACCCCAACTAAGACCCCTAGAGGAGAGGGTGCTTAAACTAGCCTTACCCTATAATCACATTAGTGAATACCCTAACTGCCATCATAGAACCTTCATCCAGTAACTGATGGAAGTAAATGCAGAGATACACATCCAAGCACTTGGCTGAGCTACGGGAAGTACAGTCAAAGAGAGGGAGGAGAGATTACATGAGCAACAGGGTCAAGATCATAACAGGAAACCCACAGAAATAGTTGACCCCCAACTTGCAGAAGCTCATGGACTCTAGACCAAGAGCTGAAGATCCTGCCTCAGTTTTATAGCATGGTCTGTTTATAGCATAGCTCAGTTTATAGCAGTGGACCAGGATCTATCTATCCCTGGTGCATGAGCTGGCTTTCTGAAGGCCATTCCATATGGTGGGATGCCTTGCTCAGCCTTGATGTGTGTGTGTGTGTGTGTGTGTGTGTGTGTGTGTGTGTGTGTGTGTTGGTGGTGGTGGTGGTGATGGTGGTGGTGAGCTTGGTCCTGTCTGCCTCAACTGAATATGGCAAGCTTTGTTGACTCCCCATGAGAAGCCTTACCCTTTCTGAGGAGAGGATGGAGGTAGGTTAAAGGTAAGTGGAAGGGAGGGAGAAGAGGAGAGGTAGGGAAACTATAGTTGACATGTAAAATGGGGCAGGATATTTAAGTAGATGTTTTCTCCAAGAATATATGCAAATGAAAAATAAGCATGTTCACTTGTCATTAAGGAATTACCAATCAGAACTATAATGAAATTTCTTTACTTTGGTTTTTTTTTTTTGTTTGTTTGTTTTTGTTTTTGTTTTTTGACAAGGTTTCTGTAGCTTTGGAGCCTGTCCTGGAACTCGCTCTGTAGACCATGCTGGCCTCAAACACACAGAGATCTGCCTGCCTCTGCCTCCCGAGTGCTGGGGTTAAAGGCATGTACCACCACCATCTGATATGAAATATCTTTTCATCCCTCCATAAAGATGGCTATCAAAAAAGAAATAAAAAAGGAGGCCATGTATGGCTCTCACCCATTATCTCAATACTTCAGAAGCCGTACTGCCAAATTCTAGACCTGACTAGACTACACAGTGATTTCAAAGCCACCCAGGAATACAGTGTCTCACAAAAAGTAAAGAAAGAAGACGGAAGTAAAATAACAGAATTACTACATGATTAAACAATTTCATTCTTGGGTATGCATCTTCAAGCAACTGAAAATGGTTACCTAATTAATGTTTTCATATGAATGGCCATAACAACAGATAGTCAACAACTTGAAACAAATAAAAGTTCCAATAATGGAAGAAAAAATAGTGGGGAGTGAACTCAGAGACAGATTGAAAGTTATAAGGGACTGGATGGAGAGGAAATGAGGAATAACTGCCTCAGTCGAGTTTCTTAGGATGAAAATGTTTTAGATCTAGAGAGGTTCATAACACTGTGAATATACTTTAAAAAAAATAAATAAATCAAAGCCAGGTAGTGGTGGAGCCAGAGGCAAAGGCATGAGAATCTCTATGAGTTTGAGGCCAGCCTAGTTCCCAGAGTGGGTCCCAGGACAGCCAGAGCAACAGAAAAACTGTCTCAAAAAACCAAAATAAGTAACTTAAAAACAAAACCCAACTTTTTGAAAATATCCAAAACTGGCCTCAAACTTCCTATGGAGAATGAACTTCAAATTTTGATTTTTCTGTGTTTATCACCTGAGTGTTCCAATTACAAGTATTCATCCACATACTAGGTTTATGAGGGATAGGAATCAAACCCAGGGCTTCAAACATACCGGCAAAAACTCTACTGACTAAGCTACCACTAAATGCCATTTAATTGCTAACTTTTAAATTTTTAAATTTTATGTAATATGCGAATTCCTTTTCAACCTGGAAAAAAAAATCTGTGGACATGGAGAGGCTAAAGTTATTAATATCCAGGTTTACTGTCTCCAGGGACAAGGGAGGGACAGAGGATAAAAACATTGGCAGCAGTTGATTCTATGAAAGCAACATAACGAAGTTCATATTTTCTTATAAAATCATGTTTTCTTATAAAAATGGTCTGACATTCCATCCTTTTCAATCATATTTGTTAAAGGGAAGTCTCCCGAGCCATCATGGAGCTGGCAAAATCTAAACATTTCCAGAATCATTCAGCTTATACCCATCTTTTAAATGCTGCTCTTATAAATCCATGGCCTGAGGTTCATGGAGGAATCAGTATCTATTTTTCTCTTGCCTCTTTCTCCCTATCATTCCTTATGTTTCCACCCACTTCTAGTGTTTCCCCCAACCTCTGAGTGAATGGCTTGTTTCATAAAGCAGAAACAATGAAAGCTCATCTGTATTCTCTATATAACATTGGACCCAATGAAAACAGATAGTCTTAAGCTTTATAGGTCATGTCCCTGTACTAAAGAGTAGATGGGAGCACTTCTAAAATCCATTTCTAAGAACTGACTTGATTATACTTGTAATTTAACATTCCTTCCATGATACTAGAGATCAAACCCAAGGCTTTCTGTATACCAAGTATTCTGTCACTGAGCAAAACTCCCAGTCCATCTGTCTTTACTTTATTTAGAGACAGGGTTTCGTGTAGCCCAGGCTAGCCTTAAACTGTGTAGCTGAAGATGACCATCAACTTGATTCTTGTGTATCCACTTGCTAGTGCTGTAATTACAAGCATGCGCTACTGCACCCAATTTGTGCAGTGCTGGTGATTGAACCCAAGCCTTGATAAAAGTTAGACAAGCACTTTTAAACTATATCTAGCTCCTTGCTGTTCACTTTTAATCATCACACATACTCCAATGTTCAGTGTTTCCAGAATCACTACTTTATAGAAAAAGCATTTAAATGCTAGAACCATTCCCCAGGTAAAAGTAGATCTAACTGGACAGATGTACCGTCTTATATCCAAGGGTTTATACTGAACATCTTACTGAAACTGCCCATAACCTTTTGCCATAATGGAAGATAATTAATAATTAAGGTCAGAAAGATACTGCTTCATTTATGCATTTCTACGGATGTATTCCTCTAATGGCAGATTCACTCACAGAAATGTGTCTACATAGGAGGATGGGATAG